TTCAAATGTTGAACCTTACATGAGCAAAACTAGCGCTGCAAATGAGCCGAGCGGCTCGCGAGCCACGCTCGACTCGAGCTCGAGTTTGACCGAACTCGAGTTCTCTCTCCCTTCTCACACCCACACACACAAACATACCTTTAACTGCATCTACTCTGTAAGCTTTCTGAAATTTTTCGACCACAAAAGCATAAAATGGTTTTGCCACATCCGGAGGCATTGCCCCATGAAAATCTGGTTTGTTTCCTTTCAAAATCCCAAACAACGTGAACTGACTCACTGCATCATATAAGAACCAGCCGATCAGCATCATCACTTAAAGGTTCAAAGAAAAAAAAAATCAATAACTAGCATAAAATAATAAAGGAAATGGATTAAATGAGGAAAAAGATAAGATGCAGAAGATATACCTAAAAGAACTTCATAATTTCTTTGCACAACCTAAGAGTACGACGGCGTTTGGCCACAACGAGTGTGAAATTTATGCAAGTAATTATATGTACACTATAAGTCTGTAACTGTAAGCAGACCTCAACGCTCGCGGAGGCTACGCGCTGGACCACGGCTCTCATCGCTTCGATTGTCTGCTTCCTTCTCCGCCCAAGGCTAACTTGATCCGTGCGCTTAGGGAGCACATTAACAGAACGGCGAGGGGAAATTTGGGGCTGTTTGCGGTGGTGAAATGTGGTCCGGCGCCGGCAATGCGCAATCCCAAATCCGAGTGAAGACATGTTAGTGTGTGTAGAGTATTGGGCTTTATGGAATGGTCCATTAATCTCCTAGTGCATATGTCCAGGAAAGAGGATGGGCTGCTCCACAGAGGCCTACTTGTAAGAGGCCCAATACCGCAACTTTATTCCACTTCTTTGATCTTTACACTATATAAATAGTAATACCCGTGAGATTTACGTGATAAATATTATAAATTAAAGTAATAAATGAATAGTAATTAGTATAAAAAAAATTAATATTAATGTTTGAAGTGAATAAGATTTCACCCGGGCTCCTTCAACTCGAACGGCCACCGTACCTGCAAGAACCCAACGCAGGGAGGAGTCCCGGCGTCGGAGCTCAAGTCAGAATCACTCCAAGACTCCAAATCCCAAGAGTATAATTATGAATGTAGAGAGAGTGAGGGATTGAGATACCTTAGCCCATTTTATAGGGAGAGTGTACCTTATGGCCCAAGTTGGACTTGTCCAATAGCATTACGCCACGTGTCCTGGCCATGTGTAGGCTTATTTCTTCAATATATTCCTTTTTTGTCCACGGTCTAGTATAATATCCTATATCAATGTTGATTTTATATTTTTTATTTTTATGTTCCGTAATAGTCTAATGCATGATTTATGTGTTTATCCCGACCGTAAAAAAATCGTTGTCATTTCAGTGTTTTTGTTTGGAATTAAAAAAATAAAAGTTTAACATATTCTAATATTATTAATAAATAATATTGTTGTAATTATTTTTACCGGAGTAGAATAAAAGATTCGAACACCGGGTCGTATCTCAAGGAAGGTCAGCCGAATTATTTGTACGGATATTCAATCACACGAAAAAGCAAATAAATTCCTAAACACTCTAATTCAATGATTTTGGTTTTCAATTATCAACTACTAATTCTCAAACAATGCAAATAAACAATTATCAATACTTAAAACGAGTTTCTTCTACGTACGAATGCTAGGGAATCGGGGATGATTAAACTCATACCAAATTCAAATGCCGAGCAAAATTCGTTCGGCTAACTGATTCAATTAACCTACACATCTAGAAATTATTCCTCAATAACATTTCGTAACAAGAGGAAAAATATAGACGGCAAATCAAACCAATCTATTAACACGTTGGCAATACAATTACGAACAAGCCTACTCTAGTCGAGCCTAGATCGACCGACTCCTCCCCTTTCGGTTCTACAAGTCGATTAATTAGATCAGAATGGTGATCAAGCATCTAACCCTAAGTTTAAATCAACTCGAAAAGATTGAACGAAATTCACAAGCACGATAAGCACACGAGTATGAGTAATCACCCCCTATCCCTAGCTTAAAGATTTAGCCACTCATGTTAAGATGAACACAAAACATTGTATATAGTAAATATTCCAAACTCATAGCCAAATAAGAAGAAAACTTACGATAGATAAATAAAGAGTGTTAATCTCAAGCACAATCCAAATCCACGATGAAATAATTCTAGGTGTCACTCCCAAAATTCTCCAAAATAAGCCAAAGATAAAAGGAACAAGTTTTTGTCTGATAAAATGAGAGAAAAATGAAAAGTGCAGAATGAATCTGGAACCCTCTGCCCGATCCTACATAATAGCGAACAGTTTTAGCATTCAAAAGATCAGACGCCGCGGCGCGAGGCTTCACCGCGGCGCGAGGCTGGACTTCACCGCGGCGCTAGGGAGCAACACGGCGTGGCAGGTACTTTCACCGCGGCACGAAGACGATGGCACGGCGCGGCGCGAGGGGAAGCTCGGGTTCTCTGTACTCCCGTTAAGGGGCTCACGGTGCGGAGGGGCTGCAATGTCGCAGCGCGAGGGGTATAGCAGCGTGGCGACTGAAAGGAGACCTTCTGAAGGCTCGTGAAAGGTCTCACGAGGTGTTCCGCGGCGTGAAAGGAGTGAAGTGCCGCGGCGCGAGATTCGTCGCGGCATGGCAACCGGGAAGGCTCGAACGTGCATCCGCTTTGTAAGCTTTGTAAAACCAGGACAACTCGACTTGGTAAACTTCGAACACTTAGTCAAAGATCCGAACCTGCACACCTCCGAAAACAAGAATAACACCCGAAAAACAGAGGAGACCAACAAATATACAAAAATAACGAAATAAAAGCAAATACACGAAATAAACGACTGCAAGACTGAAAATCCTATCAAAAGACATAAATCGGGGGCTAAAAACCTATAAACCAACAAGCAAAAAGATAACAAAAATGGGACAAATAAATACTTACAAAAACCATTTATTCTCTCTTTCCCTACGCATGTATTACTACAATGTATTACTTAGGTTGCTAAATAAGTGGTGTTAAAGTTGAAACGTAACTATTATAAACTGACACTTAATTAAAAATAATGTAATGCATATTATTTTGAATTTATACAAAATTTCCTAATTTTTAATTACGTAAAAACTAGTTTAGTTGTATTATACTTTATAATAATATATGTTGATGGTCGACCAGCAACGCTTACGAAAAGTACGCTTTAAGATAGTTTAATTAGGGGTTGTGAAATATTTATAATGTATTTCAATGACATAGAATATTGACAGATCGATATAAGATAAATAAGCATAAAAAAAAAAGACATCGGTAGTGCCGATCGACTGTAGCGGTCGAAAAGGAGATTATTTCTATAAATATATTCAAGTTACTAAATGTCAATTAAAAATTAAATATCCTAAAGTAATTATAATTTACAACAGAGCATAAACGAATTATATATGTATCTAAAGCCGATTTAAACATGTTCGGACAAACTATATATTGTTAATAAGAACGCAGTCGATGAATCTGCATCTCTACCCATGTAGTATTAAAGAAAAAAGTCAATTAATCATTTGATAAATATTTTCTGCCTTTTGTATTATTAAATAAATATATAAATATTTTGATCATACACACACACACACACACACACAAATATATATATATATATATATATATATATATATATGGATTGGTTCCAATGCATCCACTAATTTAAAGTGAGGACGTGAAACTCATTTTTAGCCACAAGATTTGGTACATCATGTGTGGCCAAGATTTACTCTTTTATTTTTATTATTTTAGTTATTTAATATTATTTTGACCCCTCCGGCGTTGACGTTGACAACTAACCTTCCAACTAGGTTAGCCTTCCAACTAGGTTAGTTCTCTGTAGTTGCTAGGTTAGTTCTATATAGTTGCTAGGGTAGTTCTCTGTAGTTACTAGGTTAGTTCTCTGTAGTTGCTAGATTAATAGTTGGTAGGTTAGTTCTCTGTAGTTGCTAGGTTAGTTCTCTGTAGTTGCTAGATTAGTTCTATGTAGTTGCTAGGTTAGTTATCTGTAGTTGCTAGGTTAGTTCTCTGTAGTTGCTAGGTTAGTTCTCTGTAGTTGCTAGGTTAGTTCTCTATAGTTGCTAAGTTAGTTCTTTGTAGGTGCTAGGTTAGTTCTCTGTAGTTGCTAGGTTAGTTTTCTATAGTTGCTAGGTTAGTTTTCTGTAGTTGCTAAGTTAGTTCTCTGTATTTGCTAAGTTAGTAGTTGCTAGGTTAGTTCTCTGTATTTGCTTGGTTAGTAGTAGTTAGGTTCTGTAGTTGCTAAGTTAGTTCTCTGTAGTTGCTAGGTTAGTTGTCTGTAGTTGCTAAAAGTTGTCCGCATTTTAAGAGCTGGCCGCATTTGATCCACCCCATATATAAATATATAGGGTGGCGCTCATATGAGAATAGTGCTTAGTGAAAGAAATGAGAATAAATCGTAGTCATTGGATCCGATAATCTAATGGCTAATAAAAAAGTCAAATTTATGCTTTCATCGAGAGTAATGTGGTAATTTTCTACACATCACCAAAATAAATGGGCCTCACTACATATTAATTCACGTAACACCTGTCAACCTACCCTATTAATCAACCTCACAACCCACTCTACCCCACCCTACTTTCTCTACACACACTCACGCACACAATACACACACACAACAGCCAGAACTCTCCCCGTCGTACTCACGTCGAGAAACTCTCCGCCACCGCCCGCCGCCGCTCCTCAGTCGGACTCAACTTCGTCACTCACGCACACACACAGCCAGTCACACACACAGTAAAATGCACAAAAAATCTCAGCCGGACTTAACATCTTTGCCGCTGCTCCGACTCCCGCCGGCACGTGCCTGACCGACGTCCGCCGCTGAAAGTCCGCCAGGTGCTGCATCGCTACCGAAAGTGTTGAGCTCTGAATCACCACAGTTTAACACGCTGTCTCCGACGTCTCTTCCACCGCAAAGCTCTGTCGCATGCCGGTCGCCGCCGCAACCATCCAATCACAGGGAATCGACGCCTCCACTGTCGCGGCCGACTGTAGGACAGATCTCGCCGGCAAACCCGACTGAAATTGACGCATCGCACTCTGAAATTGGCGGCCGGCAGTGGTCACGATTGACCGGATGCAGAGCCCCTCACGACGTCAGAGCATCCCTCACAGCGGCGTTCAGTCACGGTTGACCGGATATCAGTGGTTGTCGGCAATCCAGATGCGAGGCTCGGCCATGGCGGATGTCTCCTTGCTCCTGCAACTGCCCCAAAAATTTAGGGATTTAGGTTCAATTNTGACAAAACATAAATTGATTTTTTTTTTTTTTTTTTTTTTTTTTGTGAATTAGATAATGTTAAAGGGCCTATTTACAATCTCTTAAATTTCGGTTTCTTAAAATAATATAACAATAAATCATGATAATAAATAAATTATAAAATAAAATTTTAATTTTTTAGGTTAATTTGATGTACAATTATATATATTGAAACTAGTTTTCGAATACACATAATTTATATGAGAAGGTATAAATTCACGCACTTTATTGAACAGAATGTTTCACTTCATATAACAACACATTGCAACTTATAAAACACACGTTGCACTTTATCACCACAATCCACAATTATTGTTAACAGTTGCCACCAAAATATTACTCGATACAAACTTATAAAACATATCTACATAATATTTTAATATCAATCACATCAAA